ACTACTGGCTACCGCTCGCTACTACTACACTGTACTGCCTACATGCTACGCTCCTGCCCCTGTCTGGCTGCTCCTCGACTGCTCCTGCGCTAGCTCTACTAGCTACTGCTGCTACTACTGCCTCTAACTGCTACTACTGCTCCTACTCCACACTACTACTCCACTACTACTACCCTACTCTCCTACTTCCTCCTACTGACTGCTACTACTGCTACTGCTGCACTACCTACTTACTACTACTACCAGGCGTAGACAGGTCCTCAGTTGTGGGAAGGATGATTTTCGCTGTTCCCTCCCCTCATAATGATACTGAAGACTGTGTGGCGAGTACCGCACACCGCGAATGTCCCTTGCGCAACGCCCTTAAATGGTGCGGACCAGGGGCCCGCCGTCAGGGGCGCCTGGGCGGGTGCAGGGGCAGAAGGCAGCTTGCCGGTGTTCCAGGGGGCGGTAGCCGCCCGCAGCTCTTGATTTTAGCAATTAAGAAACTTCAGCTGGTCGTTTTTGAGGTAATTGAAACAATAATTGCCCATTGTAAGTGCAATTTTGCTGAATTCCGAGGTAATTTTTTTCTTTGGATCTCCAGAGTTTTAACCACGCACGCCCCCCCCTACACTACACATTTACCAGTGGGCGGATCCAGAAGTCAATTCTAGCGGGGGCGAATTATGCGAGCTCAATGGGCACGCAGCGCGCACACGGGGGGTTGGGTGTGTGGGATTTTGTTACAAAGTTTTCATCATCTAAAAGCAATCAATTTTTTTGGACATCTTATCATAAAATAATCAGATTTTTCCTCCTTCAGGTGGGTGTCCTCCCTCCTTTTAGGAGAGGTCCAGGGGCACCTCTCCCCGGAATTTTGTTGAAAGTAACACCTCTTCGATGCAATTTTCCTGCACTATGAGGCCGTCACTATTAAACACACTACATCCTACAATACCATTCACTGTTGAGTTGAGTATTTTTACCTTTTTGGGGACACCAAAAGACTAACATGCTACTACCAAATCTGTTGCTATACATGTACATGCCTTCACTGGGGTTGCCAGTGCAACACTTATCCTAGGGCTAACAATTACCTTTACCTCTGAAAAATTCTAGGGAGGGGCTAAGACCGCCCCCGTGCTCCCGACCCCCCGTTGATCCACTAGCCGCACTAGAATGCATCTCCCCTTGAAATTTTGAATAACGTATATTTTACTTGCGAACTGGAAGACCTTAAACTGCAAAAGAATATGAGAAAAACACCCATGATTTGAACCAAATAGGCATATTTTCACCCTATACAAATCGGAATATACTTCCGGTCAGGTCCAGCACCCCCATCCCATCCCCCCTCCCAAAAAAGTGAGATGAAATTGAATTTCCCATTCAATTCAATACCCGCCCTAAAAATGCATATCCCAACTCTCATAGGTCTACTTCTAATTTTGAATCAGATGAGATAATCTTTTTTTAATTAATTTGAAGGACGTGATTTGTGGAATTTTGACACAAACAAATCGTATATGGGGAATGCGTCCAAAATTAACCGCTGATTTTCAGTAAAATAATGTTCATTCTGAACCGAATTACAGCCATTTGTTACAGTAGAGTATTCAAACTTCCATTTCGTAATAATCATCTAGGAGAGTAATGCCAAGCGATGACGATTTGAGATAAATTCCAAGATTTATGTCTGTAAAATATTAAAATTTTTCGCCGCAGTTCCTCCTGAAAGTAAGGGGGTGATGAAAGCCAACGCGCACCTCCATAAGTGTGGGGATATAACCCCCATCCCCCGCTATCTACGCCCCTGTCAGATAACTCAACATTTGACTTTGATTATGCCATACTAAATTATTCATAATCATAATCTTTGTAGCAGTACCTACAGGCGCCGCGGACGATTTTTGAAGTGGGGTGCTAAATTGTTACGCTCGACAGTGCCAGAGATTTCGAGAGGGTGTAAGAAACCTGGCGGGGGTTACGGGCTATGGCGGGCTCCTCCCCGAAAATGTTGAATCCCGCATTTTCCTCCTGAAAGTAGGGGGGGATGATGTATCACGCCATCCGCCCCACGTCAATAAGGTGGGGATGCATCCCCCCCATCCCCCCGCTATCTAGCCCCTGACTCACTACTCTACTGCTACTACTGCTAGCTTCTGCTACTACTACTACTGCTACTGCTATCTGCCTACTGCAGCCTGCACTGGCTCTGCTCCTGCTCCTGCTCTGCTCCCTGCTGCTTGCTCCTCCTGCGCTCCCTGCGCTGCTGCGCTACTTACTACTACTGTACTACTACTACTGCTTGCTTACCTACTGCCACTACTACACTACTACTATTACTACACTACTACTACTACTAAGCGAGTACTATTGCTACTACTAGCTACTACTGGACTACTATACTAACTATGCCTACTACTGCGTGCCTACTACTAATACTACTACTACAACAACTTCGTACTTCATACACTATAGCTACCCTTATACCATAGCTACTTCTAACTCTGACTTATCATTCTTAACTACACTACTCTACTACACTACTACTACTATACTACTCCTACACTACTACTACTACTTAGCTACTACAACTTCTTCTACTACTACTACTACTACTACTACTACTCCTCACTACCATTATAAATCATCACTTTATTGCACATGTATAATTTCACAACAAAGGAATATAGTACAAGGTGATTATACAAATTTAAATTGCATTTTCAAGATCACATTCATAAGATTGAAATAACCCTATTGCTAATGAAAATCTACAGAATTCTTTTTTTTCTATTTATTTAGGAAGAAATCGAAGACTGCCAGAACTTCAGAGTTTAGTTCAGAGAAATATACAGGCTCTTCAGCAGCATGTGAGATCGGCTACACAGAATGAATCAGTTGCAGGTGAGCTCGCAAGAGCTTTTCCGCAAGCAAGAAAAAATGGAGGCAGAAGCAGATGTAGAGGCAGAGGCAGACCTTATCAGGCTGTTGGATTTAAGATCACTTGTCTTTCTGGCCTGTTGCCAAACATTAGCCAGATAAAGCATGCAGATCTCACGAAACTTGAACTTGGTATGTACAGATGATTATTATTTTTTAAATGCTCGTCCCATTTTTATGAAGCCTTGCTGTAAGGTGAAGTGGGGGGCGTGTCAAGAACTGGTTATATGTTGGGTCATGAGGTCAAAGGTCATGGGTCATGTTAACTATGCCAAAATACTATGTTCAGCCATAACACACTCAAGAATGCTTTGCGATATATATTAATGAAACTTAACACAATCAAGAGCTAGTAGGTATTATTAGCTCTTGACACAATCTATATATATATAAAGAATATCTGCCACGCTTTTGGGGTCATCAGTTCAAAGGTCAAAGGTTGAGTTTAAAAAGCCAAAATATCCTAGATGCACATATATTAAGAATCCTTTGAGGTATATTAATCAGTACCGTGAATTGCCCATATGCCATGGTCGTGTTGGGATTTGGGATATAGTAAAAAGGTGGAGACAGGAAATTTTATGTTTTTAGCTCACCTGAGCCAAAGGCTCAAGGTGAGCTATTGCCATCCATCCCCGTCCGTCGTCTGTAAACTTTTTACATTTTCATCTTCTTCTTGAAAACGCATGGTCAGATTTTAACCAAACTTGCAGGAATCATTCTTAGTGGTAGGGGATGCAAAGTTGTTCAAATGATCCCCGAGAGGGCCCCAAGGGTCAAAGCCATGTAAATTTAAAAAATCTTCTCCAGATCCAGTACTTAGTAGTACAGTCAATTCATGTTGTGTGTGGATACCTTTAAAGGTGAAGAATAAAATTTGTTCCTAGGATGACCTTATGTGGCCCGGGGGTGGGGTGGGGGGTAAAAATTGGGAAGGGGGCACATCATAAAAAAAACCAACATTTTCATCACAATTCTCCAGGTGGCCTCATTGGGGGAGTAACAAATTGATGGGGGAGTAACAATCCTGATGGGGGAGTAACAAATTGGGCAAGGGGCCAAGGTAGACATTACATCTTCTTTAAATTGCACGATCAGATTTTAACATAATTTGGCATGCAGCAATCTTCTTAAAGGCAAATGATACAATTACAAGTTGTTCAGACAATGCACTTGGGTTCAATTGTCTATGTCTAGTGCAGTGTAGAATTTCACAGTTGTTCCACTTCTGATGTACCCCTTCATGCGGGGTTCTGCCCAGGGTTTTTTAGTGCCGGGCGCATCCAGGTCGCAAGATTGTTTTTTTTAATTAGTGCTGGGCGGAGATATATATAATATAGTGCCGGGCGGCAACCGCGAGTGCCGGGCACATGCACCCGCCCACCGCCGCCCACCGTTGGCAGAACCCTGCCCCTAATGGCACTAGAGGGAGGTTGCGTCAAATGCTTATGCACAATCTCAGGTGGGCGCAAGGTCCCCTGGGGCTCTTGTTTAATTGAGAACAAAATTTGAGAACAAAATTTGATCAAGTCAATTTTCTTGGCAACTGCCTGTGGCATGATATTCATGTTTGTGATGGCAAGGCTTGACACTCGCATTTGTTCATACCAACCCGTTCAGGCCAGTAAACCCATGATTTATCAATTCTTCATGGCCCGATTAGGACGTATTTACTGGCCCGAACCGAAAAATTAGACACAAAAAAATGAAAGAAAAAAAACTATTTCAATTTGTCAAAATTTGCTTGCTGTCATAAATGTGATGTGCATAGTCCAGTGTATAAATGTTCTAAGAATGGTCAAGTCACTGAAGAAGATTGACAAGGCATCCAATGATATTTCAGAAGGAACCATAGTTATTTTCTTGAAACGAAATACATATTTGTATACGGTATTTTTTAATTTCTTATATTTTCCAGGTGTTCCCTCAACTGAGATGGTTGGTGGGCGGAGGGTCCCTACAAAAGTGCCGTCAAGCTGGTCCATAGTGGAACTTAGACAGAAGATAAGAAGCATGTTTCCACGGTTGCAGCGGTTTAACGTGATGCGGGCCACAAGGGAGAGAAAATTAATACCAATCTCTTCAAATACAGTTACTGATCTGAAAAAAGAGTTCCCGAGAGGTGGACTGTATGTTATTCCTGATGGGCCGTTAAAACCACTGGTAAGCTGCAATACCTGTTGAAATAACAACTGCTTTTATGCTTCCGCCACAAACTGGCTGCCTTATGTTTTCAATTTGTCCGTCCGTAAGTTTTTGTCTTGCCTGAGAAGCAGATGCGAGACTTGGGCGTCGCTATTGCTACTTTTCTTTCCTTCAGTGAAAGATATTTTCTGTGTTTAATTTGTCTTCTTTCCTAGGTATGTTCCAAGTGTAGCAGGACTGTTCAGGCTGCAGGTGACTGCATTGTATGTCAGCAGGATGCTGAATATGCAAACAGTCTTGCGACAGATCAGCAACGGAGACAGGTAATATCATTGGATTAAACTTAATCCAAATTCCATACACATAATGCAGAGCTTACATATGTATTTATTTCATTTTCAGGTAGAAAGTTTAACATTATTACATCAAAAATGGAAATAACAACTGAAAACAATTATTTGAAATAATTATCCGCTCTATTTTCTAATGGTTTTGAATAACTATCAGCACTATTTTGGCTAGCCAGGCAGGGCAAGTCAACCTGAGATTTGGCTAGCCATTGGCTAGCAAGCTAGCCGCTAGTTCTAATTACAAACCCTGTACATACACAATAGGACATGCAAGATCACAAAGGATCAGATAAATATGATAAATCATCTCCAAAAGCTTAGCATGAGTAAAATTGTTGAATATTTGCAGAGAATTTGGCCCTGTCATTCTGACATTTCATTCTAAAATTGTACAGAAAAAAGAATGAAAATCAAGGCAATAAAGGAAAGAAAAGAATTGCTGAAACACTAGAGGTAGTGTGGTACTCAGAATAGCTGTGGATGACCTAGAGAAAATTTGAATAAATTCTTGATTTGATTTGCAGCAATGCTTCAGATCACCTAAAAAGAGAAAATTAAAAAAGACTTCACTGCAAAATCTCTCTGGGCGACCCGATAAGAGAAGTCACAGTGTTGTAAATTTTGTGCTACTCTGTCATTTTGAGGTGACATATCGGGCACAAAATGTCTTAGGAGATAATATGTGCTGCTGTACATTTACGTTCTGTCAAAATCTGCATATTGTCACAGTTTTTCCACCTGTTCCAGTGAATAGATTCAGAATTGGTCAGAATCATCTAGTGGCCACATGTAACAATGGGGCATATAACAAACGCCATGCCCAGAACAGAGCTAGGTTACTTTTAGTTGCTTAAAAATCTATCATTTTTTTCTTTCTTTAGCATGGAAATGAGCCTTTGAGTCTGCCATCAACCTCAAGGAATGAAGGGCAGTCAGATCTTGGTCACATGGATTTTCCAGTAGGTATTCTGGTTAATTCATTATAATAGGTGTGGCTGATTTGGAGGATGCTTTAGGCAGTGTGTTAAAGTTAATGGAGGATAGTGTATATTTGACATTGTTTTCATACACCTGTGATGAAAATCACACATGACACATTAATTGTTTCAATTAGTAAAGTTTAAAATTATTAACTCGCTTGCCAAAAGGTGCTCTGGAAAAAAAATCATGTTACTTTTCAACTACGCGTTACGATTACTTAACGTTACTTTACGTTACGATTCAAGTATTTTAAGGAACTGCCTCGATTCAAATAAACATTTTTTACTGGGTTCTGTTTTAACTGTAATAGAGCGGGAGGGGGGATAATGGCCCCCTCTTCGATGCTACCATATTTTTTTTCCTTGACACTCTCTGACTTTTTACTTTGAGTACTTTGAGTGCATCCTTTGAGACCATTTTCGCGAGAATTGCGTATACTGTTACTATGCTGCACACACTTTTGTACATGCATTTCGAGCCCCGAAAATGGAAATTTTCCTCATTTGCGTACAATTCCTATGGAAAAAATGATTGTGCTAAAAAATCTAAACACTCGTTTTACTCTTCTTGCTTTGATTAATGAAAACTAATTTGCTTTGGCTTTTGTATTTTTCAAAAATGGTCCATCATATATGCCAGTAAAAAAAAGAAAAAGTCAATTCACAAAACAAGAAAAAAACATATTAGAAAATAGAATTGACTTTGTCATTTTTTACACTTGTTTGTCGTCTAATAAAGAATCCCTTAGCTCGGATCTCTTAAACCCAGTTAACTGAGCAACCTAGTTTGGCACTAGGTGGCGCTAGCTTACAGTAGTATGGATATCACTACATCCCCATCACTTAGCTAGGATTATGCCTGTACACTGATATAGTGTTTCACAATCATTTCAGATATTGAAATGCTAGGTAACTGACATATACGCGACAGATATATGAAATCACATTAGTTTACAAGAGTACACACAGGTACAAAACTTAGGGATAATGATAACAACAAAGTAGGACATTCACAGGGGTAGACTACCCTCCTGTCCTGGGGGTTATTCTGCCCCGTCTAATCTCGAACGCCTGAGTATTAACTTCGTACGTTTACTCTTGGAATCTTGCTGGCAACCTTACTGCGCGGCCGTACCGGGTCTTGCCTGGACTGGAGTCTTCTCTCTGGATACGGTCCGTCCCGCTACTGGGATCCTGGGGCGAGGTGTCACCTTGATCGTTAGCTGAGGACATAGCAGCTTCACAGGAAGCCTGGTTGGACTCCTCATCGCACAGCTTCTCCATCCGCCCTGTAGTTAGCTCGCGCAGATGGCTGCGGTTTCGTCGTAGGCGTGTTCCATTTGGAGTCTCTACGACGTAACTTCGCGGCTGCTCATGTCGTGCGACCACTTCTCCTGGACACCACGTTTTGTTGCCTTTGTCTAGGATCCGCACTCTCTGTCCCACGTGGAGTGGTGGTAGTTGATGCGCGTCTGGAGTCTGTTGCTGCATTTTCTCATTCCGATTCTGCAGCTGCTCCCTCTCACTGCTTGGTCCGGGCTCGCCGTGACTCGGTAACAGTGTGATGAGTGGACGACCAAACATCAACTCTCCTGGTGAGGGCAGATCTGTATCTACAGGTGTGGCGCGTATATTTAGAAATGCCATTTGCAAATCTTCTCCGCATTCCAACGTCTTCTTTATGATGGGCTTCACATGGCGGATGTGACGCTCAATAAAGCCGTTGCTTTGCGGGTAGTGAGGTGAACTTGTGACGTGCTTGATGCTCCATGACTTGACGAAATGTGTAAAGGCTTGCCCTGTGTACTGTGGCCCATTGTCAGTCATGAGCTCATCTGGTCTACCGAACAGAGCGCAGTAGGCTTTAATCTTGTTTGCCACTGCTTGGCTTGAAACGGGTGTGGGCATGACATCGACCAGTGGGTACTTTGTGTACCTATCTGCGACAATCAAGTATTGCTGATTGTTGATCTCGAATAGATCTGACGCAATGAGCTGCCATGGTCTGGCTGGTGTTGCATGTGGTACAAGTGGCTCGCGCTTATTGGCATCTTGGTGTACCTGGCAAGCTTTGCACGCTCTGCACATGTGCTCGATGTCTTTCGATATATTCACCCAATAGACACTTTCTCGTGCAAGGCGTCGTGTCTTCTCGACTCCTTGGTGGCCTTGGTGTAGTTGGGAAAGAATGTCTGAGTGCATGGTCTCTGGAATCAGGATTTGGCGACCCTTGAAGATCACTCACGAAACGACCAATATGGCCTCAGATCAGTAGGCAGTTCTCTGATGGTTTCAGGCCATCCTCGATATACAATTTCCTTCACTGCATCTAGAATAGGGTCTTTTGCAGTGTCCTCGCGTAGCTGTTTTTGCTTGTGAGGGGAGAAATTGATCATCGCCGTGGTAAGGTGTTCAGACTCTTCCTCCTCAAGGTCTAGGCCATCCACACGGAGCTCCACTTCGTCATTATTATCCATGTTGGGCATTCTGCTTAGTGGGTCTGACAGATACATTTCTACCATCAACCTCAAGGAATGAAGGGCAGTCAGATCTTGGTCACATGGATTCTCCAGTAGGTATTATTCTGGGTAGGATCTAATAAAAGGTAGTTTCAGCGACCATCCCTCGAGGGACCATCCTCCGGCGGTAGGACTACCAGTCCCTCCAGGGACCAAACCGTTTTACGAAGTACTAAACTGATGATGCCATGATGCCCCCCCAGTCTTTTTAAGGTTAAGTCACTATATTCTCAACGAAAAGGTCCTCCTCAAAACATAGTTTGTATATACCTCATTTTTGCCGAAAATATAACTTGTCAAAAATCAGACAGCTTCATATGGTTTAAACGTGTTGAAGATTTCAGACCTGGATGTCTGTTTTTTCCCTAATATTTATGGAAATCGCTTTAGTGTTGAGACATATATATTGCTTTATTGAATGATTACTTTGTCCTCGGAAGATATAACAGAACCACACTGAAACCAAATTTAAAACAAAGGCCTTTCAAACACGTAATATTTTGGTAGTATTTTTATGACATCATGACAGGTACATAACAAACATCACATTTAATGTCTTTTCCCTTCACGCATTGCGACCATTGACAAACAATTAGCAAATATTTTTTAATTTACATTCTCCTTGCATGAAAAATTTGTCCTATATTAGAACATTTACATTACCCTGTAAAGAATATTGGCTCGAATCATTATGTCAAAGGGTGATTCAAACAGCTCTGTCAAGGTGTAATTATGGGCTTATATATCTACCTTCTCCTACAGAATTCTTGGAGATTTCAACGCCAACAACTACTTACACCGGAAATGGACCCACCACAGGGTTTCTTACTGAAGTTTCGTTTACCCTCTGATTCTCAACAACTACTCAGAAGAGTGTGCGAAGACAGCACAGTTCAGGTATGTATAGGAAATAAAATATGCACAATTGGTTAACATTCAAATGAGATGGTAAATTAAGGTATTGTCAGTGGTAAAACATTGGTAAGGTGCTAGAGAGAGTATTGGCAGCCATTGTGTGCATAAACTTTTTGATTCTTTATCAGTCACGCATGAAACTTCAGAAAGCCGAGGGTTTTCTCAAAGGCTCGAAATTTTTCAAAACAGAATAAAGATTGTTTATAAATGCCTCTACCCTTGCAGTGCAGCATCAAGTGATAAAGGAAATGGGCATAAGGTTTGATGTTCTGAATGATATAATAAAATGCTAATTGTTGTTACTGATAAGATTTCTGTTTTTTTTTACAGGAGATACTCTTGTTTGTGGGGTCATGTTCTACTGCCACACAGAACTTCAAAGTGGTTTGTCCAAGAGGAATTCCCAATTTCCACTGTGTCGAAGACCTACCCAACGACACAACAAAACTGAGTGATCATGGTGTCACTTCCGCAACCACATTCACTGTAACCTGGGATGATGATGTAAGAATAATAATGAAACATACTTGGCGATAGTTCACATTGATTCTTAACCTTAAAGAGCAGATTTTTTTATGTGTTTTCTTTAATTATTTGTTTGTTTGTTTTTCATTTTTTTTGCTGAAATTTGGTGTAGACACTTTTTCCAGTGTATTTTACATTAAAGATAATGTAATTTCAATTATTACAATAAAAGATAATAACATTAACATATGAATTAATTGAAGATCATAATTTGCTTCCACCCAAATCACAAATATGATCAATTTTTGGTCGACGTGCATATACAATTATGCAACTTCCAAACTGTATGCCCAGGCATTGTAAATTTGTTCCATAATATGCAGGAAACTAAAAGAAAAATTGGCAGAAATTGTGGCAGCAAGAGCATCGCGTATTGTTGACTCATCGCATATACCGTCAAGATGGGGGGGGCTGACTTAGACTTAAGAACATATTTAAATTGATATGTCTATTATCTTATTGCAAATAATAGCTTTGTTTGCAATAGAATACATGTATCTTGAGTGGAGGAAATTTTTTGTGCTATAGTTACAATATGAAGATGTAAACCAACTGAGGAGAAATTAGGTTAGATATGGCCAAATGATAAAAGGAAACCAGTTTTTCTATTCTGATTATGGAATTACTGCATTCTATTAACTTTTTTTCTTGTTGAGATGTCTTGGCAATAGAACAGTTTTAGCTAGATATGGAGGATGTGATTGTGTAGGTATGCATTTAGAGTGGTATTTGAAATACGTTTGATTTTTTCTTCTTCCATTTTTTCCATTTCTCTTATTTATTTATTTTTACAGGCAGTCGATGAAAGTCACCAAAGAAGGGAATATTACCCTGCCGGAACTCCTTCTGTAAGTTACTTTCAAATGATCACAATATGTAATTGTTTTGATATTTATCTCAACCAAAGACTTTGGTATGATTATGTTTTGGGTCATGTTGGCACGTTCAGCAGCAAAATAACTCTCAAGAAATCTTGACAGATTTCAATCAAACTGGAAGAAAAGCTGCATGATGTTACTTGCAAGAACTGATAAACTTTGGGGGTCATGAGGGCAAAGGTTACAACTTACAGAGATCAAAATGTGCATTTACAGGGGTGAAGGAGGCAGATGCTAGTAAGCCTAACTGGATATTAGATTAAATTATTATGAGACTAAGTGTGAATTAGACAAACGTGTTATTTGACGAATCGGTGGATTTATACCAAGTGGCTATTGAATGGAGTGGTATTAGACCAAGTGGCAATTAAGTCAAAGCTTGAAAGGTAATCACCTTGAAATACCGATAGAAATGGCGATGAATTCCCCAAGGTTGTGTTTTGTTTGTGATTCTGGTCTTACACATGTTTTTCACTAGCACTTTGTAGCAGCTTGGTTCTTTTGTGTGTACATACCACAGACCTACAAACACACAAACACCACATGCACACTTTGAAGTTTCATTGCACACACATAGGAAAATGTACACACCCTTAACCGGTGACATGAGATTTGCTGCAGTTGTGGGTGCGGGGGAGAAGCAACAAAATCACAACACAGCAGCACCATTGTAGTAATATTGAAACTCGCATTTAAAATAAAGTTTCTCTATTGGGTTTCAGGTACCTTTTAAGGTTTATGCTTATGAATGAAATCATGTTCGCATCCATTGATTTTGATATGTTGCATGACATGTACATAGATTACAGGATACAAAAGAACCAGCTTCAAGCTTGTGCAATCAACTATTAAGTACTAACTCATAAGAAAATATTTTTCTCTGTTCCTCTTCCTGTTCTGGTTGATTGCATCTTATCTCCTCTTTGTTTCATTAGATTCTGTTCAGAAGGAATCCTCCATCAAGACCATTGACACATCCTGCAAGTGCATCAACACACCCACCACGATTGCTTGCACCCGAACCACAATCACCACCTCGATTACGATCGCCGTCACCACTTCCATCACGGTCACCGTCCCGTCGGCCACTCGATTACGATCGCGCCAGTTTGCATCACGGTCACCGTCGCCACCCTTCGATTTCACGATCCGCCGTCACCACTTCCACACGAGTTCACCGTCGCCCACCTCGATTACGATCGCCGTCACCGTTTCCATCACGGTCACCGTCGCCACCTCGATTACGATCGCCGTCACCACTCCATCACGGTCACCCCGTCGCCACCCCGTCGATTACATCGCCGTCACCACTCTCCATCACGGCACCGTCGCCCATCCCTCGATCACGCGATCGCCGACATCTGCCTCGGTCACCGACACCACCTCGGTCACCGTCGCCACCTCGATCACGATCGCCGACATCGCCTCGGTCACCGACACCACCTCGGTCACCGTCGCCACCTCGATCACGATCGCCGACATCGCCTCGGTCACCGACA